CACTAATAAAATATATAATATAACTAATACATGTATAATATATAAAATAAATATGATATATGATATATATATGATAAGTAATAAAAGTGTCTCAAAAACTATAGATAATAGATATGGTATATGTAATGAATCTCATGCAGTAATCATCAGCTAATCAGATTATACAATTATTATAAAAAGGCCAGAACTTCATTATCTCAGGATCTTGTTATTGAATTTTAATGATTCTTAGCTCATTAGATCCGCTTCAGTGAGCTGATTCTAATAGTATATGTTTCATCTAAATTGGACTAGCGGATCAAATGTTATTAAGAATTTTGTGTTTTTTTCTTAATGTTTTATAGGTCAACACTGTTCTTACTATTCTTACTATTCTTACTATTCTTACTTTCTTATTATTCTTACTGTTCTTACTGTTTTTACTGTTCTTACTATTTTTACTATTTTTACTATTCTAACCATTTTTACTGTTCTTATTCTTAATTGTAAAAAGCTATATAAACTCTTTCTTTTCTCTTTGTTTCAGATTAGATTTTGACCTCTACAATCTCTTTAATATTAGAATTCTCTTAATTCAGAAACTAATAGATAGTCTTGTATTATCGATATTGTATCTTAAATAAAGTATAATCTTTACTCTTTTATTAACTTTGTAACAAACTGCTATAGTAAAGTAATATTCTACTTAGATACTATTAAGAGCTTTTCTTCTATATCTTATGTTATTTGTGTTGTATTAAGAAGGCCAACACTTACGTTAAGGATCAAATTTATGATGGCCAGACTCAATGCACAGAGCAGGCTAGGAAACCCTCTGCAACCGTAAAAACTGGGTATACGGTGAGTGACTTTACAGAAGACATTCAAATTTTCTCAATTACCACTACTCCAACTCCTATTGAAGAAATAACAAATATATGTTACAATAAATTTCTAAATTACCACAATATACCTATACTCCTAAAACCACAAACTTTAGGTTCTTTCATCCAATATCTTTATCACAACAACTTTACCAAATCTTTTAAAATTTCAATTAATACTACCTATAATGAAACACATATTTATACTAACAATAATAACCTATTACTTCCAAATCATATTCAACTTCAAACTAACAATCTACTAAAATATTATCATTTACTAATTAGATCCATCTCTAACAATATGCCTCACCTCAATAGTCCTACTGTTGAAATTGAATATACATCACTTCCTATTAAAATTGTTTCTATTAATATAAATGGCCTTCTTCAATCTAATAAAAAACTTTTAATAACTAAAGCTCTTAATAATAATACCTATGATTTTTAGGTCTTTCTAAAACATATTTATCTATAAAAGAAGGGAAAATACTCAACAGCCAGATTAACAGCTACTCAAGTTTCTGGAGTGTAGGTATGTTGTAATAATTTAGAAATTTATTATAACAAATATTTGTTATTTCCTCAATAGGAGTTGGAGTAGTGGTAATTAAGAAAATTTGAATATCTTCTGTAAAATCGCTTGCTGTATATCTGGTTTTCACAGTTGCAGAAGGTTTTATAGCTTGCTTTGTACATTGAGTCTGGCAATCATAATTTAATCCTTTGCATAAATAGACTTTTCTACCTATTTACTTACTACATTCTTCTCTAAAAATAGCCTACAAGAAGTAGAAGATATCATTATTTTAGAGGTGGTGGTTGTATTTATATTATTTACAGAAGACAATTTTAGAAATTTTGAGTAGTAATTTCTGCAGATGAAAGTTTAGGATTATTAGAAGTTAATTCAATAGTTACCTCAGTTAGGTTATCTTCTTGTTGTAAAGAAGAAGATTCTTGAATAATATTTGTATTGAAGAGCAGAGATTGTTTAATAGATTTTGGTTGCTTGAAAATAATTTTAAATTTATCATAAATTATTTGTTAGGCTTGAGGGTAAAATGTTATTTTGTATTTTGAGTGAATTTGAGGTAAACTAATAAGAGTTTAATATGAGATATAATAGAATAAGAGAATACATGTAAGATAGTATATATCGATAGGTTCTTGAATAACTTTTATAATTGCATCATGCTGGCTTAGCTCAGAGATATTATCATTTCTACTTGCAGCTAAGAGAAAAGCCTTGAAATAAGTATAAAAATAGTATGTTTATTGTTTAGGATTAGTTGTTGAGTTATTAAGTGACATAAATTCTTTTTCTGCAATATCAGCTAGTTCATTAAAAAGTAGAATTGGTGTTAGAATTTTGAAGCTAGCTTGATGTTTTTGATTTTCATCAAATATTTTATAGTTAAAAGTAGAGTAAATAATAGTAGGTTTTTTGTCATCATTATCGATATTCATTTTTGAGGTAACAGAGAAGCGAATAAAGGAGTTTTTGAAGATATTTTTGAATATAGTAGAAAAATCATATTTTTGTTTATTAGTAATTAATGAGTATATTTGAGTAGTATCGAAATCATAAGTATGAAGATAGAAGAGAGTTGCTTTAGTAGATTGTTTAGAATGTTTCTGTAGTAATAAAGAAGTAGAATATTCAAAAAATTCAGGAAGGAGTTTTTTTTGATAGGATGAAAATTGAAGATAAATTTGGTATTTAATATAGTTTTTTGTTTTGATTTTGTCTATAAGGATAAATTGACAACTATAATTTTCAAAGAATGAATTATACCATTTTTCAAAAGTATAGTTACATTCTTTAAGAGAAATTATTTTGTATGAATTTAAAAAATATTGCTTAGGGATATTTAAATCAATATAGATATTAAATTTGTAATCACTTTTAATAGTAACTAGTAGTTTGTTTAGTTGATCTTCATTAAAAATATAGTAAAGTTGGAAGTGGATAGGTTTGATACCTAAGTCTTTAGTAAATTGTATATAATTAATAGTTTGGTAAGAATAGTTTAAATATAAATGAAGATGAGCAAAGTTTAGAGCAATACAAATATGATTTGGAATAGTATATAGTGGAATATTAGTATAAGAGCAGAAAATTTGTTTGTAGTTAAGTTAGTAAACAAAATTTTAATAAAAGATCCAAGAAGTGTAATAAAAGTTGAATAAAGAGTATTAAAGGGAATTTCAATATTGCAGCTTATTCCAGAATTTGCTTTATAAATAAAATTTGTTAAAAAATTAGGATATTGGCTAGCAAGAGAGCGAAGAAGATATTTGAAAGTATATTTTAATTCTTGATCTGTATTTTTAGAATTGGATATAGTTTGTTGGTTGTTTTGTTGTCAAGTTTGGCCTTGTTTAAAATCTTTAAGATGAGGTTGAATGAATTTAAAAATTGTAAAAGCAAGTAGAGTATTTAATTTCATATAGTATTTCATTTGTTCTGAAATAGAATAATTGAAGAACCAGTTAAGATCCTTAGACTTATTATGTATAAATTAAGTTTTGTTAGTTAGAAATGAGGTTTTGATTTGTTTAAGAAAATTGCGTTTGTTTTGTTTAGATTTGCGAATAAATTTAATAGAGCTAAGAAAGAATTTTTAGTAGGAGTTAAGAGATTTGGTGTTAGAAAGAAAAATTGGCATATTTAAAAAGCAAGATTTATGAATTAATCTTTTCTTAAAAATGATAGCAGTAGAGTCGTGAATGTGTTTTTTGTCAGAAGAACTGCACGAGTAATATTTTGCAAATAACAAATTGCGCAAGTATGGGGATGATGAGTATAAGTAGCAATAGAAGTTTTAGTTATGTATAAATATTGTGTATATATGGTTTAATTATATTGTTAATCATAATACAAGTACTCTCTGCAGAGGTCTCAGAGTTAGCCCAGAAATATATAAAATCCTTTGTATTAAAGAAATGGAGTATGGTGTGTTGAGCTGATATTTTAGTTTCTGTAAGGCTTATAATATATAAGTTATAGATGAGACAATACTCCTCCTATAATTTTCTTTTTAATAGTTGGTTATATCTTTTTATATTATATGTTGTAATATTAAGTAATAGTGAATTGTTGAGAGTTTAAAACCTAATAGGTAAATGAAAGAATTTAGTATAGTTAGTAGGATGGAGTATAGTATAATGTGGTAATAGTAAGTCTATAATATTAGTATAGATATGTGTTTCTTTTAGAATAAAATTAATTGATATTTTGAATAAAAGTTTGTGGTTTAGTTTAGTTAAGTATTGAATAAATGATTCAAGTATTTAATTTGAATTAAGAGTGAGATAATTATATTATTTTAAGAATTGATTATAATAGGAAACTTCAGTGTATAATAAGGCAATAGTTACTGAAGTTGTTTTGAGTTCTTCTGTAGAAAAGTTGCTTACCATATATCTAGTTTTCATGGTTGCAAAGTTTGCTAAAATCTGCTCTGTACATTAAGTCTAGCCAATATATACTTGGTTTTCTGCAGAAGTTTAAAATAGTTTTAAAAAAATTTAATTATATACTTGTATATTAAATTAGTCTTATATTTATATTTAAGTTTTCTTTAATAAAGTAATAGGCAAGATTGCTCAAGTTATAAAAAAAAAAAATTAAAATAACTAAAAATAAAAATATAATTTAATAATAATAAAATATATATTTATAGAAATTAAAAATAGTTAAAGAGATTTGTAATTAGATTACAAATTTTTTATACAGAATAAATTTTATATCAAATTAAATAAAAACAAATTTAGCAAGATATGATTTAAATAAAGATTACAATTTTATGCTAATTTGGTTAGAGATTATATGACAGAAGTAAAAAAATTTTTTGAGATAAAAATAAAATTTATAAATATTTTTAAAGGCTATTTAGAACTCTAAAAAGTTTAATATTTGTGCTAAAAAGATGATTTAAGGCTTGTTATAACTAAAAGAAACTGACTAACAATTTTATTTAAGAGTATAAGAGGAGTTTAAAAGTTAGATTTAAAGAAATTTTAAAATTTTGCTACTTTTAGTTATTTACATATAACTTTGTTTAAAAAAAGCAAATATTATAAAACTAGGCTATTAAAGTGTAAAATTATATATAGAACAAGCTTACTTAAGAGTACTTGCATAGTTTATTTAATAAAATTTTGAAAAAATTTGGTTTTATTAAAAAATTTTTGAAAAAATTTAGTACAAGAGATTTACAGATTAAGTATAGTATTAAAATAAAAAATATTTTATTTTTTAAACAATAGTTATTAGAAATTACAGGTTATTAGTTTTGAATTATTAAATAATTATAGTAGATTTATTTTTTATTAGTTATAACAAATTATTAGTTTTAACAAAATAAGTTTTAGAATGAACTATATCTAGTAAGCAAAGGATATTTCTCCTTATAGAGATTTAAAATATTTTAATTATAAGTTAAATAACTTAATATATTTTAATTTTAAATTTAATTTTAATTTACTTAAAAAAATAAAAAGATAATTTTTTTTAAAGTAGAATTTATATTTTTTAGTATTTAATATTTCTTTTTTATAAATTTTTAAAAATATAATTTGAGGAGAATGCAAATCATTAACACTTTCTAATAATTATTTGTACCAAATTTTCTTAGAAAAAACTTGCAATATTTGAAAATTCTACTAAGTTAACTACTTTTGGCTGCTTAAGTAAAGTTGTACTACACATAATTTTACATCTAGGTAGTATAGTTTTATATTTTGTTACTGGCTCTTTAACAAAATATTTTAACTAAAGTGTAGAGATGCTCTATAGGCAATATTTAAAATTCTATTAAGTATATAGCTTTTCTTAATTAATATAAAAAGATTAAGCAGGTCTGGCGATCTTAGTATAGTGGTTAGGTTGCCAGACCGCTATGCAAGAGGTCTGGGGTTCAAATCCCACTGTCGACAAATTTGAATAATTGCCTGGACCTTTGTACCCAACTTACGTTAAACTCTGCTCATTTCTGGGGATTACAACCCTGTAAATCACGTTACACCAATATTAATCGGAAATTGGAAGTATGACACAATGCTCGAGTTATGTTATACGAATAAATTTTGATAGGATCTATGAGCAGGGGACCTGCATGGTAGAAATCCTGAGTTTGGTGAAGTAGTACGGATTTCGATAGTCAAGCCAGTTAATGCCTGATCCAGTGAAAAACCTGAGTACAAAGGATGTGAGATCGATAGATGCGAGTAAGTCCGCTATGTAACGCAGCCTGGTACCTTGTATTAGTGACAACACCAACTTGGCTTGGCAGCTAACTAGATTGAGAGGATCTACCTCGTAAAACATCCAGCTGGAACTTGGAGGACTATATCTGGTGGACGGCTACGGCAGGAACTGAGTTTGTATAAACATCGACAAAGGTCTAATCCAGGTGAATCTGTGAAATGAGCACATGACCACTC